AAAAAAACGCTGAGGAAATATAATGTTTGGTTTGCTAGCGAGCGAGAACTGATTTCAGAATAATTGCACATGCGCGTGATTGAATGAACTATGACCCGTACAATCGCGATTTGCATATTGTCAATCAAAGGTCCTGTTATTTGCTTACTCATGCAAATTAGGCAATTGGACATAAACATTGCCACGTGTGAGTGTTTTTTATTTTTAATCAGAAAATAACCAGCAATTTTAACGGTGTTCCATTAAGAATTCATTGATCAAATTTTCACAGAATGTTCTCTAGATAAAAATCTATATGAAAAACGAAAAAAACTATTTTTGATTGAAATTCACAAAGAAACTGCATCTCTACCTTAAGTGTTGTATTAGTTATCATTATTAATTATTTTGCAAATTTTAGGTCAAATTTTGGGGTCAACATTTGCACTTTTGTGGAAATGTGATCAATTTTCCACCACTCAGCTGATACATGTTTAAAAATACACCGATCAATGGTAGTGTACGAACTCAGTAGATCCAAGTTATAATCCTGTAGTTGGGTTAAACAAAAAGGGTCACCACCGTCATGGGTCAGTGTATTATATGTACTATCAGTAATGTGTAAGTGTAAGTGATATTCAAAGTCATTGGTATTTATCGGTAAATGTAAGTCATGATGTATAATTTTTTTGTATTCAGCTTTATTGAAGGAAAAGACGTCTTGCCTGTAGATCCACATCTAGTCGTTGCTCTAGCTGGTGTGAATGACCTGACAGATAAAAACGCAGTGCGATTGAAAATTTCTGAAGTACATATCCATCCTATATTTAGTATGAATCGCTTCCACAATGATATTGCTTTAATGAAGTTGGAGCAACCATTGGTGTACAGTGACTCAATACTACCAGTGTGTTTACCCCAAGCAAACTTCACTGTTTCAGAAGGGGATTACGCTTGGGCAACAGGCTGGGGTACAGTATGGGAATATGGTAAGTTCAATACCATTCAAACAATGTTGGCCAACAAGCATGCCCCATGTTTAAAGGGTGGCAGTCGTCGTGCCGCGTCCTGTTCGATATGGGACTCATAGCAACGTACACAACGCGTGTAAAATATATTGTTTGTTTACATGACATTTTACCACTGCCCTTTAACAAATGATGTCATACCAAATCAGCACTAGCTCAAAATCTACTGTGACAGAATTGCATAAACTAACATTGTATATTTAATAATAACATCAACATCATTCTTTTACCTTCTGGTGCAAATTAACAACAGGTTCTTGTCAACCACGCATAGAGTGGAATTGCTGGAAACATGAAAACCTTGGAAAGTATGGAAACCTTGGAAACATGAAAAGTTATAGGATCAAATTCAATCAATTTACAGCAATTCCAGGCACTGATTTGACGCCAAAGTAGTGCTAGATGTTGATAACTTACTACAATAGGTTACACACTTTGTTTTCACATTTACACAAGTTGTTACAAATAATGCAGACAGCATGTCTGCAATTTGAAGCGCACCGGAAGAATGCTCCGCCCATAAAAGTGGCGGTACATTAGTTTTGAATTCCTCCTCCAATAAACGATCAAGGCTCTCATCTTACTTTCATACTTCAATTTGCGTCACATGTTATTTCCATGAGAGGGGTGCATAAAGTGGTGGCATTGTAAAGAACGTTAGTTACTGGTAGAGATATTTTACACAACCAGCTGACTGACTGATCATGACATAATTATTGATCAAATGAAGTGCATTACTCCTACTATGGAAATATCCATATCACGCCGATGTATATAACTGAAAGCTGCCTGCAACAAATGTCCTATGAAGACTTCATCCAGTATATCAATAATGAAATTGAATACATAAGTAGAATGGGTGTTATTCAATTATTAGTTCGTCGACGATGAGAACCAAATAGTTGATGTGCCACCAAATAATCGCTTTAAAAAGCTTATAACTAGCAACGCACGATCACACGTCTGGGGAGGGTTACCACCGTTCATAACAGTCTTCAAGTAGTTTTTGTCCGTAAATGCGTGGTCTCAATGTTTTATAATATTTGACATAGTCTATAACGTTGTCAATTAGTTTTTTTAGTCGTGGATTGGTCGCTCTCACGCTTTCCTGGCAGGATACTCTCGGTGGTAACAAACTGTTTGACGATATTATAAGCTGTCTGCTTTGAAACACCACTTTGACCTCCAATCTCAGCAAATGACAGTCTACAAAAATACAAATCGACAACTCTTGTTCCACTTCAACTTCTCCATCGTGGTGTTTAAACAACTCGCACAAATGCCGATTTGTAGACACACAATAAACACGATGACTGACCAAAAGTAACTGAAAGACAGATGCGCCGCAAAGTCTGACGGCATCAGACTTTGTAGCAAAAATAGGAAACATTGTGGGCAATATCTGTAAATCAGTCCTCTGATTTGCAGCCGATGTTAATGTTTCTAGTGACAACTTATGTAAATGTGAAAACAAAGTGTGTAACCTATTGTACAATGGTATCTATATTTAGCACTACTTCAGCATCAAATCAGTGCCTGGAATTGCTGTAAATAATTTAAATCATTAAAAAATTCAAGACCTTTCTACAAACGAAATTGAGAAAATATGGGAGACTCGCTTGAGTTTAGCAAAGGTCATGTGGTCAGATGATAAAATCAGCCAATCAGAGGGTGATGAAATATCGTCAGCGCCCATTTTAACTTTCTATGGCATTAGGGTTAACCCTAACCCCTAACTTATTTTTTCAATTTTGGTCCCTGATAATTTTAACTTTTCATGTTTCCGAGGTTTCCATGTTTCCAAGGTTTCCATGTTTCCAAGGTTTCTGGCAATTCCACTCTACGCAACCACATATTCACAAAATATAAAATTTAGTTTCCTACTATTGAACAGGCAGCATGCTCAGTAACATAACCGCCTTGAAACTTCCCATCTTATATTTATCAACACTTCTTTTGACAGGGAGAGTACCAATGGTACTTCAAGAAGCTAAAATCCCATTAATGCCAGATGATGCATGTTCCTATTATTATGCATTTACAACTGAGAAGACCATCTGTGTTGGTGTTAAGAGTGGCTACTTGGGTGTATGTCATGTAAGTCCCAGTTATTTATGACCATTACAATGTCACATGGACATCCAGCATTAAAAGGTCACACATCCTGGTACTTTTTTTCATCATATAAGGTCACACATCCTGGTATTTTTTCATCATAAAAAGTCACACATCCTGGTACTTTCTGGGGGTAAAAATTCACTATCAGTAGAAATTTGCCCTCTGTCTATTTATGACCACTGAAAGGTTACACATCCTGGTACTTTTTCATCATAAAAAGTCACATATCCTGGTTCTTTCTGGGGGGAAAATTAAGTCTACTTATTGATGTAAATTTTGTTTTTGGAAGAGTACCTTGCATATCCCGATTTTTATTCATTCCTACCTACAATAAAAAAATAATTAAGGTAGAAGCCTACTCATAATTTTTGACAAAATTGGTCATAAATCGCATGACAATGTTCATTAATTTATTTGTACAATCATGAAGCTAATGTCCCATGGTACAATTAAATAGAATTATTTTGTGTGTTACAGTTAAAGGGTGGCAGTCGTCGTGCAGCATCCTGTTCGATATGGGACTCATAGCAACGTATACAACGCGTGTAAAATACATTGTTTATTTACATGAAATTCGAACACGCACTGCGCGACGACCCCCACGCTTTAAGCTTTTTATTTCTTGAAAATTCCTATTTTTAGAACAATTCCATAGAACACAATTTTAAAAAAAATTGCATTTTTTGACACTTTTTAAAACCCAGATTTTTTAAATAATTCAGAACAGCAAAAAGTACTCCATCTAGATTTTGAGATATTACATATTTCTGCCATAGAAATGTTGCAATAGTGTCAAAATGGCGACTTTCCACTAAAATACAACCATCATTTCTCAAAACAAACGAGTAGGCTTCTACCTTTAAACATGAATCAATTTGATGTATTGTATGTAATGTTTCTCTCATTAACATTTTTATAGGGTGACAGTGGCGGTCCTTTGAATTACCTTGGTGAGGACAACAAATGGTATGTTCTGGGTGTGACCAGTACAACAACAACATGTGGATCTGCTCGTAACCCAGCAGCCTACACAGAAGTTAGGCACTACTATGACTTCTTCCAGCAGACAACAGGAATAGTTTTTGATTTTTGAAGCTCAGTTTTGCATTGCATAGCGTATATAGAAGGCAAGTGTTACTGCCATATTTAAACAGGGTGGTCTTTTCAGTGAAGATCAGGTTGCCTGGTTACGCATCATTAGCAGCCCAGCCATCATTAAATATAGTTTTGACAATATCTTGAAAATGTATAATTTTTTTAAAAATTCAAACTTTATTCAAAACCATTTGCTTGTGCATCTACAAACTGGATGGTGTTGCAGGTGTATACAGCATACAAGTGACAACAAACGAATCAATTTTCCATTTGAACTAGCAATAATTATGGATGGAACCAAGCTTCAATTTAGAGAGATTTTCCTGACAAATTTTCCAGTGCAGTATTAATTCTCCATCAGTATCAGAAATATGTGAATCTTGTTTTTTTGCAAATCTATCATGTCTAGCATTAGAGTTTTAAATTTTGTGAAAATAATTAAAACACACCTTTTTTTTTATATGAAAAAAAAGTCGTATAAACCTTATACAAGTATACTTTATTTGAAGTGTGTCACAAAATACAACAACTTTTTATTGAAATCTGTCATTTAAAGGTTGGCAGTTTACTTTTTTATTAGAAATCTGTCATGTAAACGTGGTAGGTTTACTTTTTAATAAAGCTCACATCTTCACTTCATAAAGATGTGAAAACATTTTTCTATTAAGAAGCAAATGAATATTAATATTTGGTTATTCCATTTTCAGTTTTTAATTAGTAAATCAATAGGCACAGACTTTTTTTTCAAGACGTGTTCCGGGTATTTTTGACTGACTTTGCCATTACTTCAAAGGCTTACAAATGACAAACAGTGTGTGTATATATTGTACTTTTTTTTTACTTGAGACTCCACACCGATGGGAGACTTGAATTTAAAATATGTAATTTTTATATATATATTTATATTTTGCTGATATCAGTAGAGCGGTGTACTCAGAAGGTATAACCTCATTATAATGACATTGGTGATTTGAGCATAAAATTATTCTGTCATCTATAAATTGCAAATTATTGTTACCCTGTATTCCATTTCTTACAATATTTAAACATAGATAATGTGCAGTTATACATGTGTAAGGTTTGTCATTGAAACACCATTTAAAATAAACTTCTTAATCCGCAGTACTAATATATCTCAAATTATATTTACATATAAGTCACAATAATTGGTTTTGTTGTAACAAAACGTTTTCTGTTTATTTTGGATAGATGGATACATTTGTATTCCACATTTTGATGCCAAATCATGTTTCATAGATACCATGTCAAAGATCATATTTCAAATCCATATACTTATTTTAATTAGTATATTGTATTTATTTGATATTCTGTATTTATTGAGTTATACTGTACATTATACTTTTTTCTGCTTTCACTGTAATCAGTGCAATCAATACATTTACATATTCAAATTGTCAGTGATACAGATGTACAGATACTGTACAGATGTTCTACCAGGGGGCATTGATAATTGAAAAATTCGCATATAAAACATAATCTCTTCATTTACCAATAGGGGGGTGTGGTTTCAATTACTATGTTGTTCCTTCTTTTTTTTCGCACTTGTAAACTTCCATTCAGAGGGGTGGGAGGGGTTAATTGTTAAACAAAGAGACTATGTTTGGTGTGTGTATGTTTTAATTATTTACAGCGTTTTAATGAAGAAGCCTACTCATAATTAATTAAAAAATCTATAGAACAATTCTATAGAACACAATGTTAAAGAAAAATTGCATTTTTTTGGAAAATTTTTAAAACCCAGATTTTAAAAATAAATCAAAACAACAAAAGTAACTCATCATCAGCCTACAATTTGAGATAAAGCATAATATCTCTGCCTTGAACTATCTCTGAAATATGGTAAAAGCATTTTAATACTGACAAAATGGCCACTATCCACTTGAATATAACCATTATTTTAAAAATTAGGTTGCCTCAGACTACAATTTATTGCAAAAGAAGTAATTCTGGGTATTATCATTTATGAGCAGGCTACTCAAGGTATTAACGCTTTGAGCAAAATCAGCATAATATTCATCCATTTTTCAAAAATGTTGATCAAAACTAATAAAACATGTTGATTTGATCACAGAAATTATGCAAAATACATAAAAAATTTTAGCTGTCAATATTTAAACTCTTCATCTCATCTTTTTTTATTTTAATAAGTGTTTGTTTTGTGAACACAATATTTCTGTTTAATTTGACCCACCATTATTTTAATTTTCAAAATTAATCTGGGACCATGGGCAGGGGAAATTTTTTTTTAAAAAGAGCACTACTGGGGTTTCTTTTATGTAAACAGGGTCAATGCATTGATTAATAATATACAAAGAATTATACAAATGATGGTAATTAAACTGTTGAATTATAATAATTGTACATTATACAGATAATAATATACTAATACTGTCATTATTTATACATTAAGAAGAATTTGTATACATGGAATAAATATTTAACAAATGAAACTAAAATGTACAAATGTTTGTTTGGGATTTAATTTATATCTTTGTAGTATGTGAAATATCGTAGCTGTCTCCAGTTTTATCATTGTGTGAATCTCGCTACAATTATTAAAAACTTTGTTGTGTACCATATTTCTACTATTCGAATAACAATCACTTAATATATCGAGTATGTGAATGACCAGTTTAAAACGCTGGTATAATCTTTTTAGTAGGAGCTGTACTTTAAATCAAAGCGATATTTTTGGCTCACATGTCACACATGCTATTCTAATTGTTGCATGTTCCCTTGTAGAACTAGTGTTACACTAATTGGTTGACAATACCAATGCAAGTAGTGTACAGTCTTGTAGAACTAGTGTTACACTAATTGGTTGACAATACCAATGCAAGTAGTGTACAGTCTTGTAGAACTAGCGTTACACTAATTGATTGACAATACCAATGCAA